ATTTGACGACTCAGCTATTTTACTGGAGAATGTTACCAAACATTTAAAGAAGAATCAACAAAAATTTTACACAATCTCACCCAAAAAATAAAAGAGGAGAAAACTCTTCCAATATTCTATGAAGCTAATATTACATTGACACTAAATCAGAATAAAACAATACAAAATAAGAAAGCTATAGACCAAGATCATTCATTAACATAGATATAAAATCCTTTACAAAATATTAGTGAAGTACTCAGTATCAAATATAAAAAAATTAAACATCATGGCTATAATTTATATAAGGGACATAAGATTATTCCAATATTAAAAAAAAAAACACACCACAGTTAATGTAACTAATGATATTAATAGGCTATAGAAAAAAAATCATGATTGTATCAACTCATGCAGAAGCTCATGTCAAAATTTGACATGAATTCACAATAAAACAAAACTAAACCTCCCAGAAAAAACTAGAAATGGAAGAACTTCTTTAGTTTGATAAGGAAGAAAAATACAACAAACAAAAACTCATCTGCTTTCTTGATACTTAATAGTGAAAATATGAACTTTTCCCTAGGATTGGAATGAAGAAAGGATGTTATCTTTAAACACTTTTTTCAACATGGTGCTCTAAATTCTAGTCACTACAATAAAACAAGAAGAGAAAATAAAAGAGATATAGCTTAAAGGGAGGAAATAAAACTCCATACTTACAAATGGCATGTTTTACATAGAGAATCCCAAAGATACTACAAAAATCTAGAAAAGATTGATGAATTCATCAAGGAGAAAAGATAAATGTACCGAACTTTATCTACCTATTCATCCATCCATCCATACACCAGTCCTGCGGGTTGAACCCAGGACCTCATGTTTGCCAAGTAAATGCTCTACCACTGAGCTATACTCCCAACCCCAAAATCAATTCAATTTTTATTTATTGGCAATGAACATGCAGATAACAAAATTAAAGGTATAATGTCATCTATAATTTTTTTAAAAAGCACTAATCTAATGAAATATATACTGTATAGAACATGGATGATAATAAAAGAAATCAAAGACCTAAATAAGTGAGAAGACATGTGGATATCATATTGTTAACACTCAGTGTATCCAATTCAAGACTTACAACACAGCTATATCAATCAAGATTATGTGGCCATTAGTAGAGGGAAAGACACAAAGATCAATAAAAAAGAGAAAGACTCTAGAAATTTACTTATAGAAATATGGCCAAAGGATACTTGGCAAAAATGTAAAACAAGCCAATGGAGGAAGATAGCCTTTTAATCAAATAGTGCTAGAACAGTTGGGCATCCTTAAGGAAAACGAACAAATGAGCAACAACAACAACAACAAAAAAACCCTTGAGATAAATCTTCCACCTCATAAAAATTCCAATAAAAATGAGCCACAGACTTAAATGTAAAAAAAAAAAAAAAAATCAATTGGTCATATATATTTGAGTCCATTCTTTTTCATGGGCCTATCTTTACATCAACAGTACAATGTTCTGATTACTTGTAACTGTATAATAAATCAGGAAATTAGGTTGTTAGTCCTATATTACATTATTTGTTTTGAGAGTATTTTGACTATGTTAAGTTCTTTACGTGTCCACAAGAACTTTAGAATTGACTTGTAGATTTCTAAACAGACTGCTGGTATTTTGATTGTGATGGTTTTCAATCTATAGATCATTTGGAAAGAAATGACATTTTAAAAAGACTGAAGCACCCATTCAATAAATATGGTATATCTTTCTGTTAATTCATTTAACTTTCCTCAACAATGTATTGTATGTTTCATTCTTGCATATATTTTGTCAAATTTATTCTTAATACTTTTCAAAGCACTTGTTAGTTCTAGAAGATTTTTGGTGGATTCCATAGGATTTAGACGATGGGAGGGGAGGGAGGGGGGATGGTAGAGGATAGGAAAGGTAGCAGAATACAACAGTTACTAATAGGGCATTATGTAAAAATGTGGATGTGTAACCGATGTGATTCTGCAATCTGTATTTGGGGTAAAATTGGGAGTTCATAACCAACTTGAATCTAATGTATGAAATATGATATGTCAAGAGCTTTATAATGTTTTGAACAACCAATAAAAAAAATTAAAAAAAAAAAAAGGATTTACTATATAGATGATAATTTCATCTTTAAATAAAGACAGTTTTTACTCTTTCCTTTTCAATCTGGTTACCTCCCCTGACCCCCTTATTGTACTGGTTATGATTGCCAGCAGTTGAGGGGGTAGAAGTGGATATCTCTGTCTTTTCCTTTGTGTCATGGAAAACATTCAGTATTTTATTACATATAATGTAATCTTTTAGTTCTTTTTTTCATAGTTTTTATCACGTTGATGAAGTTCCTTTGAATTCTAGTTTGCTGAGAATTATCAGATATGTATATGACATATCTATATCTATATATCTAAATATATCTGTATATTTCTAAATTTTATCATATATATCTCTATAATCTCTAAATGATGGATGGACTTCCTCATATAAATTTTCCTAAACTGTTTTCTTTTTTAGTCTATTAAAATGGGTAAATTACATTGATTAACTTTTGATTGTGAAACAAATTTTGCATTCCTGGGGTAAACTCTCGTCATAATACATCGTACTTTTTATATATTGTTGCGTTCAATTTGCTAAAATTCTGTTAAGAATTTTTGCATCTGTATTTATGTGACATTCTAAGTTATTTTTTGTAGTGACTTTATCTGGTTTTGTTACCAGGGTATTCTGATCTCATAAACTGAGTTAGGAAATAGTTTCTTCAACTTAAATATTTTATACAGCAATAATATTATTTCTACTTTAAATGTTTAGTGGGATTCATGAAAGAGGCCATTTGGGCATGAAATTTTCTTTGTTGAAAGTTTTAAACTAAATGTTTAATATCTTTAGTAGATGCAGGATACTCTATGTATTTATTCACTTTTGAAAGTTTTTCTGGGTTGTATTTTTCAAGTAATTTTATCTAAGTTTTCTAATTTATCAGTATATATCTGCTCATAATATTTCCTTATGTCTTTAATATTCATATCTGTAATGTTGGTGTTTCTCTCTTTACCTACTTAGTTTGGATAGTGATTTTTCGACTTTATATATCCTCTATAGAATCAGACTTTACTTTCATTAGTTTTCTGTTTCCCGTTTCACTGATTTCATCTCTGATTGTATTACTCCTTTCTTTTAATTTCAAGGGTTTCATTTGTCTCCCCTTCCTACACTTGGTAAAGTAGAAGGTAAAGTCATTAATTTTGACACATTTCTTCTTTTCTGACACATACATTAGTGCTGTAGAGTTGCCTTTAAGTCCTGCTATAGAGCTACCCCAGAAATATTCTTTTCTTTTTTGGTTCTTTGTGGTACTGGGGATTGACAGGGTTAACTCTATCCTCTGTAACATCCTCAGCTTTATCTTTTAAATTTTGAGATAGGGTCCACTAAGTTGCCTCAGACTTGCAATCCTCCTGCCTTAGCCCCCTGAGTTACTGGGAGTATAAGTATGTACCTCCATGTCTAGCTATACTTTTATTTTCATTCAGTTCAATATATGTTTTAATTTTCTTTTGTCAATAAATTTTTAAAGGTTCAAGTCATACAGAGATGCTTTCTGACCACAAGGAAATTAAATTACAAATCAATAGCAGAAAGCTACCAAGAAAATTCTCAAATGTTTAGAATCTATCTTCGAAGATGTCCTATGTATGTTGCTTCTGTTGGATGACATGTTATATACATGTTAAGCAGGTCAAGTTGTCAATATTGCTCTTCATGCCTTCTGTATCTTTACAGATTTGCTGTGTACTTGTTCCACTAATTATTGAGAGAGGTGTTAGAAATTTTAACTGTGATATTTTTCTTAATCCAGAAAGATTTTTCCTTATAGATCTATCATAGTTTTTGTTACTCAATGTTATTAAATACATAGAATTTTTATGTTCTTTTGACTAAGTGAACTTTTATCATTATGAAAAAAAAACCCCTTTTTCTTGGTAATATTCTTTGTTTTGAAACTTTCTTTGTCTGACACTTTAACTTCCTTTTGAGTATCAGCCTTTTTTTTGTAACTGCAATAATTTTGGAACAGTTTGTAAACATGTTCAAAAACAAAGTTACCAAAAAAGTAAGGGAATAAAAGAGTAGCTGAGGGAATGATTTCCTTTTCCATTTAGGGATGGTGGGTAAGATGTCAACTTTCTACATTATACAGACCATTTAGTTCTATTAAAAACAAAATAATCACAGACTTCAATAAATCTGTTTTCCTGACCATCTCCCTTAGAAACCAGCAGCATCAAGAATAATAGGATCTGAAAACTCAAGTGAAGACAAAAGTGAATTTTGGAGGGATGGGGTTGTGGCTCAGTGGTAGAGCACTTGCCTAGCATGTGTGAGGCCCTGGGTTCAATTCTCAGCACCATAAATAAACAAACAAACAAACAAAGGTCCATTGGCAACTAAAAAAAAATTTTTTTTAAAAAGTGAATTTTAGATGGTTTAGTATTTCTCTACTACTGCAAATTCTTAAAGTTCTTCCACTTTTATTTATTGAGATTAGTTCTGAGACAGGATGCTGAGATGTGCAGAGGTTAACAGGAAAAAAAGACTGAGTTTTTGTAATATAAGAAGATGTTGGAAAAGAATACAACTTATCTTTTGTGTACAAAATAGTCGGGGATAGAAACCAAATTAAGCAGATTCTATGTACCATGTGACATATTCTAGTATAATGGGAAAAAAATAAACAACAAAAAGGCAAAAACGAGGGTTATGGAATCAGAAACAAAGTTACCTCCTGGTTCTATGAGGAGGTTTTCGATCTTAGGCAAATTACTTACAATGTGAAAAGCTTATTTCTTACCAATAAAATAGTAGCTTTTACATAAAATAGAGAAAACTTCTTAATGATAAATACGATATATGAGCATAACATAACACAGCACGACATCTAGAAACATTAGGAATGAAAAAAATTATTGCTTACGTTTTTCCTGTAATGCCTGCAATTTATTCAGTTCTTCATTCTCTTCATCACTATCTTCACTGCTTGTACTGCTGACATCCAAAACTATGTCCCTTTTGGGATCTACTCGGAGAAAATTGCGGCACTCAAAAGTCAGATGACCAGCTAAGTGAACAAAAGAGAGAGAGAGAGACAGAGAAAGAAAGAGAAATAAACTATACGCTGTGTATTTTTATTTTATTGCCTCTTGGTAAGCAACAAATTACAATTTCAATAATATACATATAAAATACTTTAGTTTTTATTTAGTTGATGGTAGTTTAGTTATTTTCCCTATACTTTTCTTCTGAAAAGAGATCCTTTACCTTTCTTTGCTGGAAGTTCTAATTCAATTAATATTTTGGGGGACACTTCGTATGAATTTTAGAGTGTTGAATTACTGTATTTTCCCTTTCTAAAAGTATGTAATATTTTAAACTAAACTAAGTACTATTATATTTGAAATGATATATTTTACTCCTTTCTATTCTTTCTCAGCTTAACTACTATATCATGCAATTATACAGTTTTCATCTAATTAAAATTGTCACAATTATATACATGCATTAAATTAATGTAACTGAATATGCTTTTTTCTAAAGAATACCTAAAATTTTAATTCTGACATCATTTTCCTAATGACTCTCCCTATAAGAAAACTGTAATAACTGTCTACTTACTGTGTAATACATTTTAAAAAAATCTAATATACAAATACCAGAAAAGTACAGGAAACAATTTAATCAATATTTAGATACCTATCACATACATGTCAACATTTACTTTCTTTTAAGGCAAATGTTCACACACACATGCATGTGCACACAAACACACACAAAGGTAGGCAGTTTATATTACCTTTGAAACTGTCTCAATCTCATTTATTCTGTCTTCGGAATTAACTACACTGAGGTTCATGTCTACCTTTCCCAAACAATGCTACTGTATGTTGTGTTTTCAAGAAATAAACACCATTATATCTATCATTCTGTAACTTGTTTCTGCCACTCAGTATGTTTTGTGATTCACTTACATTACCATAAGTAGAAGTAATTTTCTTATTTCATCTAACAAATCATATTTCATTATATAAAAATCATATTTATTTATTTATCCTACTACTGATAGAAGCTTAAGTTACTTCTAGTACATTCTAATTAACTACCAGTTTTCTCTAGGGCAGTAGCTTTCAAATTTTCTTGATCATGATTGACCAATGGTTACACAAAAATGATTATGATGATAATGATAACACACACAAAAGAGTAAAGGTGAACTCCTCACTTCTTACCACATGCAAATGTTAACTCAAAATGGATTAGACACCGCAGAATGTAAGAGCTAAAAGCATCAAACTCTTAGACAAAAGCACAGAAGTAAATATTCATCATTTTGGATTGACAACAGACTCTAAGATGTGACACTAAAACTACAAGCATTCAAAGAAAAAAATGATAAAACTGGATTTAATCAAAATTAAAATTTTTTGTGCAAAGAATGTTTTCAGGAAAATTTTAAAATTACTATGGTAGAGGAGAAAATATTCGTAAATCATCTGTCTGGTAGGGTTTAATATCCAGAATATATATAAAAAAGAAAAACAACAAAAAGACAAACCAGTTTAAAAAAATGTGCAAGTAACTTAAATAGACATTTATCCAGAAAAGAAATACAAATGGCCAAGAAGCACATAAATACATTTTTCACTAGGAAAATGCAAATTCAAACCACAAGAAATAACTTCATGTCTTTTAGGATGGTTCATACTTTTCTACTGTCAAAATTTCTGACACCAAGTTTGTGAGTTTCTTCCACACCAACAAGCAGTTCTTTCTGGACACTAACTGGGTATTCTACAATTAAATTAATTTGACATTACCTGGAATTATTGTAGACCCTACCGATTAAGGGCTCAATCCCACAAGATTCCCCCAAATCCAGATGCCCATCATAAATCTGGGCCACCCATTCTTTTGACTGGCTATATAGTCAGAGGTTCTCACAAGCCCCTCTTAAGTTTGATAATTTGCTTAAATGGCTCAAAGAACAGAGGAAAAAGATTATTTACCAAGAGCAGAAACAATCAAATGGAAGAGCAAAGTGCAGGTAAGGAGAATGGAGCTTCCATGTTCTCTCTGGGTATGGGATGCTTCCAGGACCTCGATGTGTTTCCCAACCCAGAAGCTCTCTGAATCCTTTAGTTCAGGGTTTTTTTGTTTGTTTGTTTTCCCCTATTACATAGGCATGACTGATTAACTCACTGACTGTTGGTGAGTAAAGTCAGTCTCCAGCCTCTTGTCCTTATTCTTCTCCTTCTGGATTGATGGAAGCTGGGCTAAAAGTGTCAATCTTATATAGTTGGTTCTTTTGCAACCAGTTCCCATGTTGACGCTGTCTAGGGGTCCATAAAGAGCCATCTATTTGTATTAGTATAAACTTAGGTTTGGCTAAAAGGGACTTGTTAATGAATAACAAAATATATTCTTATTACCCCTATCAGTCAGGAAATTCCAAGTGTTTTAGAAACTCAGTGTCTGAAATCAGGCACAATGATCAAATATATATTTCTTATTATCACAAATGGCTACAATTAAAAAAATGGAAAATAATAAATGTTGGTAAGGATGTGGAGAAATATCAAGACGCTGTATATTTTTAGTGGGAAATAAAATGATTTAGCTGCTATGCAAAGCAGTTTAGAAGTTTTTCAAATGCTAATAGGTGACCTAGTAATTCCACACCTAGGTATATACCTAAAATTATTGAAAACAGGGACTCGAGCAGAAACTTGTACAGCAATGTTCACTATAGCATTATTCAAATATCTATCAATGGATGAATAGATAAACAAAACATGGTATATCCATACAATGGAATATTATTCAACCATAGAAAGCATGCCACAATGCATGCTATGGCATGGCTGAACCTTGAAAACATTAAACTAAGGGGAATGAGCCACACGAATATCTTGTGATTCCATCATATGAAATATCTACAACAGGCAAATTCATAGTGGCAGAGAGTAGAGAGAAGTTGCCAGGGGCTGAGGAAAGAAGGGAGTAGAAGAAAGATATTGCTTTAATGTTTATAAAGTTTCTGTTTTGGGTGTTAAAAATGTTTTAGAATAGAGTGTTAATAGTTGTCCAGCATTGTGAATATAATTAATGCCACTAAATGATACACTTCAAAATGGTCAAAATAGTATATTTTATGTTGTATACATTTTACCAAAATAATAATAATAAAAAGGAATAAAAAAGGAGCATAGTACAGTGTAAAATCTTACAGATAACCAGAATCCCACTTAGAATAACCCCAAGCCTCTGTTTTCTAAGTTGTTAATAACAATAATCCATACCAATTAATATTTTAAAAAAATTTTTTGGTAGTTGTAGATGGACAGAATGCCTTTATTTTATTTGTTAATTTTTATGTGGTTCTGAGGATTGAACCCAGTGCCTCATGCATGATAAGGAAAGTGCTTTGTCACTGAGCTACAGCCCCAGCCCATCCATAGCAATTATTGAGGACTTCCTGTGGCCAGGCATTGATCTAAACACTTGACTTGCATGAATTCATTTAATCTTCACAGCAACTCTATGGAATTAGGTAATATAATTATCTCAACCTATAGAAAGAAAAATGAAGCACACCACAGCTAGGCAATTTGCCTAATATCACATAGCTAGTAAGTGCCAGCTGAAGTTTGTTGCTTAGTAATCTGGTGCCAGAGCCACTAATCTTGAATGTTCATAAAAACCAAGATACCTATTTCATAAAGTTGTTTTAAAAATGAAAAGCAAGGAAATTTATTTTTGAAGTGTTTAGCAAACAGTCTAATACCAAATAAGTATTTAATACATGATACTAGCTTATGACCATATATTGTATCAATATAAACAAAAGTATATTCTCTTGTTTCCTTATTCCAGGAGTGGTCACATGGGCAACTCAGTAAATGCCAAGTAACAATAAAGTCTCTAGTTTCATTTTGACTGTGGCAGATAAAAGCCTGCCAATGCATAATTAAAAACAAAACTCTTGTTTTATAATTAGGGCTCCTAAATGACTACTTCTTGGCCTATGGTATATATAAACCATGCTAACGTACTGTTAACTTAAGCAAGCTTTGGCTCTACCTAAAATCCTCAGATTTAAGAATGCAAAAGCTACTAAATAGATAATTAAACTCAATTAATCTCAATTAAATAATTAAATCCCAATTAATCAAGCTTCATACCCCTCTCATTTTGGTTAAAAAGATATAGGCCTCTGTAGTTATTGAATCCTAGCCATGTACTACAGTTTATGCTCTCCTGATCACTGCCTTCCTCTTCTTGTCTTTTTACTATAGTTTCTGTAACATACTGAAAGTTAACTCCAGTTTGGACAGTGTCACCATTTATCTACAAGTAAATAAACATTAACCAATTCTAAGATGAATTGGTAACTTTAAAAAGTTGACCTCATATTCTGGGATACACAAGGAAGACAGCTCACTTGTCTAGTAAGTGTTTTCTATTATATAGATGAACAGCCACCTGCTACAGGTGAATAGCTCTATTCAGTGAGGTCTTTGGAACTTCTTACCTGCCATAAGCTTTAATGGGCAAAGCAGATTGTTGGCTTTTCTTGGTTCCCTGATATTCTATCTTCCATGACTACACTCCCTGTCACCTGCAACTACTGTATCTCTGAGAATTTTAACTTCAGTATTGCACTGACTTTCAATCTTCTAGTTTTCTCATTTCTTCACACCATGCATAGATATATTTGTGAATCTCATTAAGACCTACAGTGCCTCAATCCCTTCATTTTCTCCTAGCCTCAAATCTTTCATTACTGATCAACTCTTGTGTCTCTTTGACTCTTTCATACCCTTGTCTGTCTACTTACTATATTTCATTGCAACATAAGGTTTGGCTCAAATTTTCTGGATTATTCCCACCCCTGCAAAGTCAAGCTATGCTTGAGAACAACACATACTCATAAAGATTAGCATAAAAATAAACTAGTTGTCTCACTTTTTATTTGTCCTTAGTCTACTTCCTTTCCTACTTCTAAATGACTTTTCCAAACCTGTGCCTGACTCAAGAAATTCCTTAGCCCAGTTGTCCTATTCCACTCCAACCAACTTCCTAAAAAGACAAGTCTATCTCCTAGTTTATAAAGAAAATTGAGATTACCAGGCAATATTTCATTTTACTTTTTGTCTCTATACCTAAAAAATTTATTCCTGCCCTCATTTAGTTTCTTCCAAACTGAAGAGGTATCCTTGCCATACCTCCTTGGGGAATTTACTTAATCTTTTAATCTTCTTCTGTGTCAGATATCTGTAATGTCTCTGCTAATGCCTCCTCAGTCTATATAAACATAGCTCAAAAACCCTCCACTTTCTCCACATTACCTTTTAGGAATTTCTTATTTTTCTTCTAAATTTCTTGAAAATGGAGACTACATTAGCCTTCTCTACTTCTTTATCTTCCCATTCAGGCCAGAATCTACACAGTTTATTTCATGACCTACATTCTAATTAAACTACTCTTGCTAGAAAAGCATCCAACTTGCCAAAGCCAATGAACATTTTCAATTCATTACTTACAAGTCTTACCTGACAACTTTCCCTCAACATAAAACAGTCTGATTCTCTGGCCTATGTGATATTGCACATTCTTGCTTCTACTGGCAATGAAACTTTTCAGTCATTTTTTTTGTGCACTCATCCCTATACATCGTATTCCATCAGTTGATATTTTAGTCTACTAAGAGTCTGTTAGTGATTGATTATTCTGCAATCTGTTTAATTAAACATCATTTAGACAAATAAAATGTGAATGTAGAAAAAAGAAAGAATGATAGTTTTTATGAAACAAATCTGTACTTATGGAAAGACTTGATTTAAATAAGCAATTGTGAAATTACAGATTGGCAAGAAGGCTATGGAAGATAGATGAAATTCTAAAACGATGAGGGGCAGAAATCTCTTAATTTTCCAGGATGTGTGTCCATAATATGGCAGGAAGCTTATAATTCCAGGGTTCTACATTTCAAATGTAATAGTGCTTTCCCTGCACCCTGTTATTGTGAGCTACAACCTATCTTCACAGATTTCTAGGTAGACAGTACTGTTTCTAGTTGAGAAGTAATGACAGAAGAATTCTACACTTAAATTCCTTTACATGTATCTTAACTTGTTCTTTATCTTCAAAGAAACAAACTATAAAAAGTAGAAAATTCATTTGAGATGTGAGTTCCAAACAAAACATTTGTCAACATTAATAAGCAGATTATAGGCAAAAAAATGTAAGGGCTCTATATAAAAAAAGTTAAATAAAACATTAGAGGTATTGAGACATCTACTTTTATTTCCTGCCGTTGTATACAAATATCCAACCAATGAGTCTACTATATTGATCTTTTTAAAATTGTGTTTTCTGAGAACTGTCATAATTATTTGATATTTACTCCATAGAAAGGCTTAGAGTACTTATAGTTATTCATACATTTCCAACTTCAAAAAAATCTAATAAAACTCACTGTAATAATGCTTTCTATAAAATTCTTTTAAACTAATTTTGCTAAGGAAATTCTGCCATGAAAAGGAGACATTTTATTTAGCAACATGTTCATTCCTACCTTGAAATTAACATGAAGCAGCAATATACCCACTATTGAAACATAAAGACAATAAAATATTTTCAAATACTAGAATTCTTAAAATTGTACAATTGATAGAGAAACAATATTCTTTTGTAACTAAATGAAGAATGCTTATATTTCTGAGCACTAAGACATTTCAAATAATCTTATTTGTCTTTCCCTTACCTCTACACTAGCAACACAAAGATTCTGGCCCCCAAATAAAAGATGAGCTTATTTTTAAAATGTAGTTTCTATGTCAAAGATATATAAAATGAGGAGACTACCATTTCTAACAGTTGTAGGGATGTAACTTTAACAAAAAAGGGAAATATTACTAAAATTTTTCATATGAGACAAATTAGAAATTGTTTAATAATTTAATCACTAAAATAATAATAATAATCTGAATAATAAAAAAGAAAGAACTAAAGTTGGAAAGAAGGTGAAACTATTTGCTAACTTGGCTTCTTTTAAAGACTAATTGCTACAGATGCTTCCATTGTTATCTAAAATAAAGTAGCAATTAGAAGACTAGATGAACAAATATTCTGTTTCCAGAAAATGAGTTTAACTGCCTTCCTAGAAGTCTTAGTTATTAAAAGAAGTCAAAGAATAAACTGATATAAATAGAGAGACTAGGAAATCCATTCCAGATTTTTAAGTAAATGTAGCATTTCTATCTGTAAAAGGTTCCTAAGTTTTCTAGAATAATGAGACATGTAAATCAGCAATAATTGAAACAATGTAAATAAAACAGAAATAAACATGAATAAATTAAAGAACAGAAAAGAAGGCAATCATTTTTTACATGCAAGTCTGTCCTTCAGTTTTCATTTATATGAGAGATATATACTTATGCAATCACTTTTGCTTCTTGAGCAAACTTCCTCTGAACCAAATGTGAGTCTTTGCTTGGAAGCTTGTGACTTACCTCCGTGGCATCTTTCATTGTGTCCATCTGATGGAGATGTATATCCTGAGTGCTCTTTTAAACTATACTCTTGCATGGATTTTTTTTTTTTTTAATTAAACCACCCTTCCTTACATTGTTAAACAATCCAGGCTGATTTGCACAGTCTCCAAACAACTTAGAAAACAGCAAACACTGTCATAATAGCTATTAGTAAAGCCTTAGGAATTGTTACAAAAAATTCAACTATGAAAATGTTACTTATTTACAGTATAAAATTATAATTTTTTTAGTATTATATATAGTTTCACCTGTTTAGGTTTATCTTTTCAGTTTATGACAGTAATCATAATGGAGATTAATGGTTGTTTAAAACAAGTATTTTTTTGTCCATGAGAAAAATTTCTGGAATCAATCAAACCCTTATAAAAAAAGGATAAATATCTCAATAAACATGAACAATTTTCAAAAATAGTTTTCAATGCCTTCACCTCTTTGTCTAGTATCCAGGTTAAGGAATAAAAGAATAAGTATATATAGATTTGAAAAAAATATATATTTTCTCCAAACTCCTAAATCTACTACTAACCACTTGTACTTTATGACATCTTTGCTAGTCATCAGATAGATGACTACCTGTTACTGGGTCTACAGCAAGAAAGAAAACTGCATATTTAATGCTAACAGAAATTTCTGAATCAACTGTAAACCTTAGTTTAGGAATAAGAAACTCTGCACAGAACCCCTGAAATTAGGATGCCAAGGTATACTGCCCAAAGAGCAAGGAATCCAGTAAGAGCAGTGTACAGAATGCTGCCTTTAGTATACTTACGGTAGCCACATTTTTTACAGCCTGCTCTGACATTGTCCTTGTTGCAACCTGAAATGCAATTGGATACATTTTAGGAAATGTATATAAACAAAAACATAAAAACATTGTAAAATTTCTTGAAAAGAAAATACAAAAATGATGTCCAATTCATCTTAGTAATACTACTCAATTATAATTAGAAATCAGTTTGCTCAAGGCCAGTTTACTCAGATTATTTGATAAATACTTCAAAGAATTTTTTTTCTAATTCAATAGAAATGCAGTCACATAGCCAAGAACTTAAACATTTTAGGAATTCTACCTCACAGAAGAAATTCCAGGATACTTTGGCCTGTCCCTCAAATGTAAAACAATTGATTTACTAGATACATATGTGAACATTAAGGTTAATAAATGTTCTTCTGATATCCATTATAAGAAAAACAATACAAACTTTCTTAAAAGAATTGGTGAAATTTTGGGAAAATCACTGTAGCTGCTAGGTATTATAATAAATATCTAAACTCAAAACTCAAAACTCTATTTTTTTGTTTTGAAAATTTAACTACTTTTCATTGAAAACTGCACTGAATGCTAAATGTCCACCTTTACAATAAACAAGCAGAGTAATGCTAACTCACACTAAAACAAAACATACTTCTGATAGCCATTTTTCCTTTTGGGACAGGTTAAAGTTTTTCTTTTGTCACAAAAACAGGAATGTACCTATATAAAAGCTCAAAATAGGCCATCTTTTTAAATAAAAAGGCAATGATTCACAAAAGGCTATGAATAGAACATGCAACTAGTTGATACAAATCTTATAGGATTTGTTAAAATCAGTCACATATAATAACACATCTGAAGTCAACAATCAAATTTGATAAACATTTACAAATTTTTCTAGTAGCTCTGGGTAATCAGTAGTACAGGCAGGTAATTCGGAAGACATAAATAGATAATAGTTTTTATTGTGGTAAAGCATACACAACATAAAATATACCATCTTAACCATTTTAAATGTACAATTCAGTAGCATTAAGAATATTTAGTGTTATACAACCATTAGTATTATCCATTTCCAAAAGAGTTTCTTCATCCCAAACAGTAACTGTACCCACTAAATAACTGTGTATTCTCTACTTTTTCCAGCTACTAGTAATCTGTATTCCACTTCCTGTCTGTAAAAATTTGCCACATGTATGAGGAAATCATACAATATTTATCCTTCCAAGTCTGACATATTTTACTTAGCAGAATGTTTTCAAAGATCATTTTACAGCATATATCAGAATTTTATTCCTTTTCATGGTAGAAAAATATTCCATTATGTGCATACATAGTTAAAACTAATTTTCACCACTTTTAAGAAAGTTTGGATTGTTTTTCCTATAATGGAAATCAGAAAACATTTATTTTTTTAATATTTATTTTTTAGTTGTAGTTGGACACAATACCTTTTTTATTTTATTTATTTACTTTTTATGTGGTGCTGAGGATTGAACCCAGGGCCTCAAACATGCTAGGTGAGTGCTCTATCACTAAGCCATAACCCCAGCCCCAGCAGAACATTTATTAAACTTAATGTTCACATATATATCTAGTAAATCAAAATTAGTGGCTTCCATCAAACAATAAGAGGTCCAGTACAGTATTATTCCATTTTCTTGATGAGGGGTATCTAGCTATTAAAACAATGTAATAATACATTAAAGTATATTAACACAAATATGAAAGTGTCAATTTCAATGAAAAATCATTTTAAAAAAATTTCTTTAATTCTTGAAGCCAAAACATTGATTATTTCCCACAATTCCAATTTTCTTTAAAAATATACATATAGAGCTACTCTAATAAAAATAGAGTATATTTACTCTAGTATAAATAGAGCTATAATGCTTGTTCTAAAAATGAAAACGTTATTTCAATGCAACTGATATATTAGGGGAAAATTTGAGGATAATGTAACTTTCATCCATAACAAAAGTAGGTGAATGCAGAAAACTGCAAACAGTTGGTCTGAGCTGCTGAGGAATCCACAAAACATATAGGAACATACTCTAAACATTTCTGGTGATTTCAGTTCACCTCAGTGTTGTGGACAGCACTCATCCACATCTGGTGTTAAGATTTTTCTCATCAATTTCACATCATCACCCTCCTTCCACCTTTTTATAACAAGTGACTAACTGCATCTCTTCTGAACTCTACTTCCACAACAACCTCCAGGTCTTCTTAAAGGTGAGTGCCATACTTATTGTAGTATTCATGTACTGTATAAGCAATTAACTTATTATATAACTATGCTACTGTTTTTATCAGGTTCCTATCCTTTTTTTTTTCTTTTAGTGTGCCACTAATGACGTTTTGAGCATTATGCCCCAAATCCCATCTTCCCCATAAACCTGTGGTTTTTACTGCACAGCTGAGGAACACACATGCCACACTATATTGCTGAATTGTGAAATGAAATTGGAATAATATATAATCTGAGGCTCTTCCATTATGAAAATAACTGCATATTCAGAAAAAAATCTCTGAGAATAGGGGCAAATGGTAAGTCTGTTTCCATAGAAATTTCAGATGCTGAATAATGCTAAACAAAACTTCAATAAATGCACCATTACATTACCCACAATATACTAAAAAATATTGTAATGGACAGATCTGAAATAATCTTAGTATATATTAGAAGTGAATTCCTTAATGAGAAAACATACTGATAAAATTCATTGTTCAATTTTTTCATATTTTTTGAATGAACAAAATATAAAACGTTTTCTAGGAAATCATCTTTATCAAAATTGAAACTTTTACATAAAAGGGAAATATAACAAAAACTTTATATATAAAGTAACTCCCTATCAGTTATTTCCTGACCAGCCTTTGCTTAAATTAAGATTCCAGGGCCAGGTACAGTGGAGCATGCCTCTAATTCCAGCTACCTGGGAGGCTGAGGAAGGATTGAAAATTCAAGACCAGCCTGCGCAACTTAGTGAGACCCTGTCTTAAAATAAATAAATAAATAGATATAAAAATAAATAAAACTTGTTTCCAGCTTCATTTGTCACTAATATTCATGACTGCTTGGCTAAATGTCTGGGTCTTTGAATCCAGGGCAAATGACAACAGATCTATGTCTTAGATCTATATGACAATTAACACAATGATGTGGAGACAATTCATTTTGTCAGGATTCGCTGTCTAGTAGCATTGATGACATGGGCAGCAGCAGCCCTAACTCAACCCATGCAGGATCTTCAATACGGATTCCCTTGGACTTTTCTATTTTCCAAGAATTATCATCCAGGCTTTTCTTAGATTCAGTAATACCTTTCTTTATTCTACTTAAGTTAACTAGTAATTTTCAGTTGTTTGGAAGAAGTACAATGATACTTGTAACCTATGGCAAACTGAACAGTTAGGCTATCCTGTGAGGCCCCTACTCAGCTATCTATTTTCCCCCTTTAGGCTCCTTTGGAACTCTTTGTTCCATTCCTTTCTAAAATCTGCTAAGGTTTTTAAGAAAAATGCTGCCTACCCACCTCAAAGTTTACCTTTCTATTCATGACATGCAATCAAAATGCTTTCAAGACAAACATAAATTTGATCAGGAATAAAAAACATGAATAATGGCAAAAACCATCAAAAGCAAACTCAAAAGACGCTTGAGGCAGGCATGGTGGCGGACACTTGCAATTCCAGCAGCTTGGGAGGCTGAGGCAGAGTATGGCAAGTTCAAAGCCAGCCTCAGCAACTTATCAAGGCTCTAAGCAAGTCAGGGAGACCCTGTCTCTAAATAAAACATATTTTTTAAAAAGGGCTGGGGACATGGCTCAGTGGTTAAGTACCCCTCTGGGTTCAACTGTTGGTACCAAAAAAAAAAAAATAATAATAATATCCATTTTGGATTTGGAGGATGCCTGTCAAATTTTTCTTTAAATTATTCTCTATAATCACTTAAACTTAAAAGTAAACAGCTTAAGTAACTAAATTTTCTTTGGATTAAACAATTAGAAATTGTAATCACTGCTGTCATAGGATGCATTATTTCATTTTTAATTTGATTAGATTTAATTAGACTAGGCTATGTTGTTTTCCTTTTTGTAACAAGTTTTAAATTGGTTATTATTCCATTGTGGTTTTAGTTAATATAATTTTAGGATCCTTAAACAGAGCATCAATTTACTGAGCTTCTAATCTCCAAATTGTGGTCAAATTTTATACGATGTAGGTGCTAATATGTATATAACATCTGTATGTCCTGCTGAAGTGGAATACAAATAAAACCCCAAATATTTAAACCTTTATATTGATTTATATGAATAATTTAGATACACTCCTTGTTTGGGATCCCAAATATTGAAGGGAGGATAATTAGCAGAACTTAGAAATTCTAAGAAATGAATTTAAGAAATAGATTAAATGAGTTCCTTTTTGAAAATATATTGAAGGAGCAGATGTCCTAATGTTCAATTAAAAATGTCTTCACAATTTATTTGACTCCCAAAAGAGTGATAAAAGTAAAACAAAGAGTTGATAACTGATATGAAAGCGCTAACATTTAAGTGAATGCATAAAACTCTTTCATCCACTTGCCTCACAAAATAATCTACGAAGAAAATTGTTTTAGGTATTACCTGTCTCAAGAGACAGAAATTCATTATCAAATGAAACAGTGAAACAAAATCAAGATTGCCATCTAGACAAGTCTGTTTGCTTTAGTACTAGATTTTGCTTAGCAGCAATTCTAGTGATCAATCATCTAAGTATTTATTATTTACTTATCATTGCTATAATTCTGAATTGGATGTTAGAAAAGCCACAAAGATAAATAAAGGTAAAGTCCCTCATTCAAGGAAGCTATGATATCAGGTGTGTTAGTTATTTTTCATAACAAGAACAAAATGCCTGAAAAAAAAAAAAACAACTTAAAGGGAAAAAGTTTCATTTTTCTCATGGTTTCAGAGGAGTAGGTCATGTTTTGTTAAGTCCATTGCTTTGGGCCTGACATGAAGCAGAACATCATAGCAAAAGGGGAGGGTAGAGGAAAGCTGCTCACTTTACGACAGTTGGGAAGGAGACTGAGAGCTAGAGAGCAAGGGAGAGAGAGGGGAGAAAGAGGGAGAGAGAGAGAGAGAGAGAGAGGGAACGAGAAAGAGAGAGAGGCATAATAGATTGAGCTTGGCCTTTCTTGAGGTGGTTCTGATAGTGATTATTATAAGGTATTGCTATACTTATAATAGTGAGAGAGAGGGCTGGGGACAAGATATAGTTACCAAGTACTTGCACATCCCAAGGGCCTACTCTTCCAACTGTCTATAGTTTTCATCAACTCCCAATGCCATCAAATCCACTGATGAGTTTGGGAACTCTCATGATCCAATCACTTCCCCAAAGCCCAAAAGTCTTCAAAAACATGAACCTTAGGGGGTTCATTCTAGATCTAAACCATAACACCAAGTTATTTAGGATAATAAACCCTTATTGTTATACATGACAGAATGTGCCAGGTGTCAAAAAAGACATTATTTTTTCTGCTAATAAGCATGAAGACGCAGCAGGCAAGAACCTCAGCTGAAAAACATGGAATGGATAATAAAAGGTATAAGTAGTAAAAGTAGGCATGGATAATAAAAGTGGAAATGGGCAATAATAACAAAGGCAGGTAGGCAGGAAAACATCTAAGAGGCCAGAGAATCTGGCCAAGTCAGATTTTTGCAACACTGCAGAATGCATGAGAAGAGTGGTGGAAGGAAAGGGTAAAAAAAGCGATTTGGTTTGCATTTCTCTGTTTGCTAGAGATGATGAGCATTTTATGCTCAGGAGTACGTACTTCATTCTTGCAGAGAGAGAGAGAGAGAATTTTGATATTACAATGCTTTAGAAGCTTAAATCTAAGGCATCAACTTGTCATTATGCAGACAAGGAAACTGAGTTTCAAGAAGGTTAAGTGGTTTGAAGAGAATCACAAAATTCACAGGTAGAAGTTTAAAATTAATTTACTGCCTCCCAGAAATGACAGGATTAGGTATATGATTTAGCAAAATTATTTCAATAGCAATTTGCAGCATGAACAAGAAAGAAAAGTAATTACCTATATAGTTTAAGAGTGAAAAGAAATTGGATATATTGTAACTTAGACATTCTTTTACTAAGGTGCTATAGTAATATGTTTAAAAATCTTATTCATTTTGATATGCCAGGCTGAATGAATTGTTGACTTAGCCATTAATAATTCCCTACCTTGGCTACAGACTTCACTAAAGGAAAGGAAAAACAACAACAACAACATCAACAACAAAAATAGACCTATCTTCCCCAAAATTGAGTTTTTGTGCTGACTATATCAGTAACATATATTGCTACTTATGCCATGTCAATTATTCATGGAGAATGGTGAATCACTGACATTATTTCAACAACTGAGTTAATTTCAACAACTGTGAATGGGAAAAGCAATTTTCCAAAGAAAGTAAACTTCAATGAAACCTATGTTCAAATGTCATTTCTCTAAAAACAACTAAGCATCCAAGATTTTTCTAAGAGTCTACAATATTTCATTGTGTAACTTACATAATGGTTTAAGCTAACACACAATGCTAAGGAAAAACAGCAGAAGCATGTGACCATAAAAAGACAAAGCTGGTTTTCCTGTGTGGTTTGTGGAAAGTAGCCTCATTACTTTATAGTCATACCTTATAATAATCACTAGCAGAACCACTCCAAGAGATGCTGAGCTGAATCTATTATACCTAAAATAATAGAGCATAACATAATACTTGTCCTCCTTGATGATTACCTTAAAAGGTTTCAATAGAGCTCTATTTTTCTTTTATATATTGTCTGGATCAATCATCCAAGAAATTATCTTAACTTTCTCTGTATCTATATTTTCTAATGGCACTTGCATTGTACTTTTATAGCACCTGCCATGCCTATTATCTCACTTTCTGCTGAGTTTAAATAGTTTATCTATGTCCTGCCATCTAGCTTAATGGCACAATTTATTATTATACCTTGAAGCATTATTTTGAATTGAAAGAAGATTAACATATCTATAACACTGGTCTAAGTTTACTGGAGTTAAATGGGGCTTTGGAAAATCACTTTGTCTTCTTCCTTAAGTAGCACAATGACTAAAGTTTTGCAAGGGCACAGACTATGACATTGTGTCCCTCAGAGTACCCATACCACACAGGTATTTTTTAAAAGCTTGCTCAAGTAATGTAATGAACAATGACAACAGTCCAATTTGGATGCAACCATGAGAAGCTAAACTCACCAGAGCTAATTTGGTCTATCAGGATACCCAGAAATCTACTGTGCAGGTTTGTCTCTCTCTCTTTTTTTTTTTCAAACTGGTCACTTAGATTGTGACATTCCCCAGGCTTCAGTCACAGATCTTCCTTTCACACTGTACACATTCCACCAGATCAGTTATACATTCTTTCAGCTTTAATCTTTCCTAAGTGCATGTGGCTGACAGATCATTTTCTTTGGTTTTTATTTTTTTTTCCTAATCTAAATACTATATCTCATAATGTCTACTAGATATATCTATTCTTATGTCAGACTAACCTCAACACAAGCTTGGAACAGAAGTCATCATCATCCACCTACACTCTGCTCCTTGTCTTATCAGTAACAAGCCCCACCCAACTACCTAACAGTGAAACCCAGATAAACTGCATTTCCTCTTTTTCTTTTATTATTATTATTATTATTGCATTGCAATTCTTAATACACCATTATACCACAACTTATCATGTCTCTGATTGTATATGAGGTATATTGACACCAAATTCACATCTTCACACATGTATTTTGTATGATGACACCCATGTCAAATCAATCACCAACTGCTAGTAATTCAGCCACCAAAAATATGTCTCCAACCTATTTGTTTCTGTCCTTTTTTAATGAGACCATATCTTAGCAGGCATTATCATGACTTAATCAGAATTACTCCTAACTAGTGACTGTACCTCCAGGCTAACTCCCCTCCAATCTACCCTATAGACAGAATGATTTTTCAAAATATGAGTTTGCTTAAAAACTCTTGAATGACTTCCTATGATTTCTAAGATGGCATCCAAACTCCTTGTCACTATTTGCAAAGTCCTTCAAGAGCCAGAAACTACCTTGTAAATCAATAATATAGTGTGGCAAAATGAATTAATGCACATGGTCTAGGAGCCAGATTGATTGGTCAGTTATGAACTTTCTCATAATAGAGGCAAGTTACTTGATTTCTCTGTTCCTGTTTTCTTATGTGTAAAATGAGAACATCAATGCTTATCCCATAGTGTGGCTGTGAAAGTTAAAGGAGATAAAATACAATATTTTCCATAGTATCTGACACATATGATAGCATAGTAAATCCTTAGTAAATATTAGCTATTTTTGTCATCTCTTTTTAGTTAATTTCTCACTTGTCTTCATTTGTTTGCTGAGTGACATCTGTAGCAAATCTTTCATGTCCTCTTCACCTATCACCTCTTCCTTTACATATCTAGTGCCTCTGACTGCAATCTCCCTTCCCAGAACTCTACCCTTCCCATAATTCTTTAGGTCTAATCCCAAATGCTACATTCACTGGAATGTCCTTCTGGCCTCTGTTGTACCCTGTTAAGAGTCCCCTAAGTGCTCCCCAAGGCCTTGTATTTTCCTTGACATAGTACTAGTCCCACTTTGTGTAAATTTCTCTTCACTGCTAAATTGTAATTTCTGTGTGAAAAGCAACAGTGTCTATCTTGTTCACAACTGTATTCCAAAAGCATACCTAGGATAGTGCCCAGCATATAGTAGGCAGTTAATAAAGAGTGTACATTTCCTCTCATAGATCCAGAGATGCTCCTCCCCAAACTGCGGAAGGTAGAAAAGTAGTGTTCCTATAACCGCTTTCTTCAAATAATCTTCAGAAAAAGCTTCCACAGAACAAAAAAACCTGCTCTAAAAATCCTGGGAAGGGGGTAGGGATAAAGTAAAGTTGGGGCTCTAAAGCAATACTTTTCAGAATCTTTGTTATACTAAAGTGCGTTGTTAATCTCCAAGTAGGGGGAAGGGGTCTATTTACCAAATATTCTGCAACCAGGGTTCTGCAGATTTAAGTTCCCCTACTAGAACTTCTAAATGCTGGGAGTCACGAGCAGGACATCTCTGGGATACTTAGTCTGCAGGGTTTGTCACTTTTAGGAAGGACGTACTCTCTGGACACAGAAATTAAGAGCTAGAAGGTACACTACTAGTTATCCTTTAACAAAGTTCCTTCTTAAACTGAGGCCACAAAGGGAAAAGCAACTGGTCTACTGCCACACAGCGACTACACACAACAGGAAGAGCTAGAAGTACACTTGCATTTCGTCTCCGTGTCTTCCAGTCCAAATGTCTCTGGCTACCTGGGTCCACCAAGTATTCCCACTTCAAATTTTATTTTTAAGGCATACCAAAGTGAAAGTCATTTCTCCTCGGCCGCCGGTCCCCTTTGGCCTACCATTCCTCACTTCTCTCCCTTCCACAATACACTTTCCCTATAATCCTGTGCAGTCGGGGCTTGGCTAGGGGCGACGACAATACGTTTTTGTTGTGTGGTTTTTTTTTTTACCTTTAGATTTGTAAACTTCTTCGTGTAGGACAACCAAATCAGGTTAGGCCTCCGCCTAAATCCCCATGGGCTCTGCTCCCTACCCCACCGTACCCTATCCTACTTCACCCCACGGGTTCCCTTCCTCTCCCGGACACCGGGGCCCCTCTGTTGGTCTTCACCTGGGACTGCCATGATGCTCATAAGAGGGGTCGTTGAAGCCCTTAGCTTTCGAGAACGCGTTTGCTTCCCGCCGGCTGTGAAGACAACACACAAAGCGACCTCTTGTACCCGTGCCTCGGCACCTTTCCGACGGTGGGGAAAAGCCTTATAAGCCTCTGGGGCTGGCGGAACCAAGTAGCCACGGATGCTGTTTCCGGGCGACTAATATTGCAGAACATACATGGTCTGAACCATTACTGCCAGCTTCGGGAACTATGTGTTACCTGCGCCCTAGTGAAGTGAACACCGATAGGATTTACATATTATTTCTTTTTATTTCGTTATAAATAATAAAGTCGAATATTATATTAGTATATAACAGCTTTGTAATCATTTTTTGTTTTCTGGAGAACACGGGAGTCCCCCTTCTCATGGTTAGCGGTGCTCGGGTCCAAGAGCAACATGGCGGCGTCCGTGAGGGGCTAGTTTTGAGGCAGGATAGTATTTGGTGTCGCTGTCTTGGGTGACAGTGACCGAGTGGAACTTTTCCTGACAACATAACTTAAGGAATTGTGTTCTGATAGGCGTCTGGATTTAGTGACTGGCTGGCCTCTGGCGTCCTCACTAAGGAGCGGATTCCTGAGCACTGAGCAGGATGAGCAACATCTACATCCAGGAGCCTCCCACGAACGGGAAGGTGAGAACCTCACCTATGGTTCCTGGGCTCCTCAAATGAGATCTGCCCGATAGAGGGGTTCAGGGATCTTAGGGTTGAAAAAAGACCACAGAAACCTAGTTCCTTTCCCTGCCTAGGGACAGTGTTGCATCTAAAACACCAAAGTTGGCACTTTTCAGCATAGACTTGAAAAACGTCCTGAAGTGGAGATGTCTCTGTCTGCTTTCTGGACCGGTTTCCTGCTTTGTCCCAACTCTTGCAGCCGTCTTCTAGCGTCTCCGGGTTTTTAAAGTGCAATTTTGTGCAATTTTGAGTTTGATATATTATTAGTTTAACTTGGAGAGCGATCATTCTCCATTCTCTCTGTACTTATTTATTGAGCACTTGCTAGGGACCAGGCACTATCCTCGCTGTTAACATAGGATAGCTATGGTTTACTTTGAGAGGCAGGCAGGTGAACAAGAACCTTTGGCATGTCTGATAAATGAGCTTTTGGAAAGAAGATTTTTGTCGCTATGGCAGTGATTTAGGAGTAAGCAACTGGGAATGTTGGGGGAAAGAACCATGCAGCAGACATCTATTGAGCTGGTCTTAAAGCAGTTATCAGAGAAAATGGAGAATGTTACCACATTAGAATGGGAGAGGATTTTCTTTTTCTTTTTTTAATACTTAGTTTTTAGTTTTCGATTTTTATGTGGGGCTGAGTATCGAACCCAGCGCCCTACACATGCCAGGCTAGCGCGCTACCGCTTGAGCCACATCCCCAGCCCCAAGGGAGAGGATTTTCTGATAGATTTGATGTCCAAGGCATGTCACTTCCCATCCAGGGTGTTCATGTACCTTTTGATGCAAAGGAGACAATTGTGGAATGTGTCACCTGAGTTCTTGAACAGAGACCTAGTCCATATCACATATTAAATGTGATAAACCAGCAAAATGGCAAATATAGTGGGATTGGAAGTATGTGGCTGAGGGATTGGGGACTGTCCGTAATAGAAGGTTTATTTATCATGCACAAGACCCTGGGTTCAATCTCCAGTAAAACACACACACACACACACACACACACACAAATGTGTAAAGTTGAATTGAGATAAAACTACATTTATATAAAATGCAATTCTGTTGGTAATTTTATCACAAATCACTTATACAATCTTTTATTCATTAAAATTTGGTAATGTAATCAGGGCAATTTGAAAGTCAAAAACAAAAATGCTGTAATTCCCAGTGCCCCCACCAAAAACAATTAGTGGGTATCTGGGGCAAACACTTCTTTGCTGTTTGAACTTTTCCTGGGCATTATAGGTGAGCATCCCCATCCTAATCTCCATTCACACCCCACCCCACTTCACATCAGTGTGAAAACTCAAAAACACCTACCTCCTTCTATTTCTAAATGTTTCTTGGGGGGCTGTGTTAACACCAAATGGTAAACACTGGTAGAGACTAGATTGCCTGTCTCACCAGGCAGGGCCTTCACAGTTGCTATTCCTCTTTCCCGTGTGCTGTTTTACTGCTCCCATGTCAACCTTAGCAAGAAGGCCTTACTTATCTATTTTCTGTGAAATTGCAAACCTTAATCAGGCCCTGCATCCCATTATCCCTGGCTGTCTTAACTTCTTTATGTTTTTTTTCCTACAGTATTTATTATTTGTTTATTGTATCCTGTCTACCTTTACCGTGTAGAATGCAAACACTGTAGGTGCAGAGACAAGAATCTAGAATAGTGCTTGACACATAGTAGAAGGAGTTCAAATATTTACTGAAAGAATGAATGAGTGGATGGGTGAATTAATATTACATTTCTCTAACTTCTGAAATATACTAAGCATTGAGGAGTTTGAAGTTATACTGTTGCTCACTGAAGGCAGATTTAGTTGCTTTATTCTACCAGGATAGTTTAACATGGTCATACAGATGAAAAGCTTTGACAAGGATACATTATAAATGTTTATTGAGCATCCAACACATGTCAGGCTTTATATTAGGTTTTAGAGATGCTCTGGGGAGGGGGGGAACTGCTTCGTACCTGTTATGCACTCAGTTGAGTGAAATATATGTTGAACAAATAATTATGTAAATAAAGGTATAATTACAAGTTGTGATTAATACAGCCTGTCTTCTGAAGAGAAATGGGCTGAAAGAGAACATAAGGCATGCCTCATCCAAGTTTTTTCCAAAATCCATTTGGGACTTTTTCTAGCACAAGAATTGAGGAGATTGAAAATTTAAAGTTCTGTACTGCAGAGAGCATGGGCCAAGAAAGAATGCACTGTAGCATGCATTACAAGTGTGTCAATGAATGTTTAATGCCCTTACTGTCTAATGGTACATTAGGCATTGAAAGTGTACAGAGATATTTAGAATGAATGGGACAAAATTCCTCCCTTCAAAGATCATGGTATCAACTTAGAAAATAATTGATACACGATGGCAGTCATTGACCCCTGGATGTTGTCCATAAGTGTCTTATTTTGCTGTGTTGTGCTCTAAACTTAGCTCCTAAAGGTAAGGCCCAGAAATGTAGCACTTGATAGAAATTTTCATAAGTATAAGGTAATCTATTGAGGTTGAAATTTCTCCATATTATGATCACATAATCTAAATTGCCAACATCTTATTTGGGTCCTTTAAGAAAAAGAACCACTGAGGTCTGACAAAGTAGTCATGGCCAAAGGAGGAAGGAGTCATGCCTTCTTTATTAATTCAGTAGCTTTGTCAAATGAAACAATTAAGAAATCAGGTAGTCAGGGTAGCCCAACCATATGTGCATTCTTACTGCTAGGAATAAATTGCCTAGAGCAAAAAATATGTATATTTATCTATGAATAATAATTAGAATAATAATGGCTATCATTTTAAATTTTATTTGTTCTTTTTAGATATACATGACTGCAGAATGCATTGTGGCATATTATACTTCCCTGGCGTATAACTTATTCTAATTAGGATCCTATTCTTGTGATTGTATACGATGTGGAGTTACCCTGGTCATGTATTCAAATCAAGGATGGGAAAGTTATGTCCTATTTTTCTACTGTCCTTCCTATCCCCGTCCTCCTCTCTTCCCTTCATGCTCCTTTTCTAATCCAATGAACTTCTATTCTTCCCCTCCCACCCTCCCTTGTTGTGGGTTAGCATCCATATCAGAGAGAACATTCAGCCTTTGCTTTTTGGAAATGGCTTATTTCACTTAGCATGATATTTTCCAGTTCCATCCATTTACTGGCAAATGCCATAATTCCATTCTTATTTATGGCTGAGTAATTTTCCATTGTGTATTTATATCACATTTTCTTTATTCATTCATCTGTTGAAGGATACTTAGGTTGGTTCCATAGCTTGGCTATTGTGAATTGAGCTGCTGTAAACATTGATATGGCCGCATCACTGTAGCATGCTGATTTTAAGTCCTTTGGGTATAGATGGAGAAGTGGGATAACTGGATCAAATGGTAGTTCCATTCCAGTTTTCCATAGTGGTTGTACAAATTTGCACTCCCACCAGCAATGTATAAGAGTACCTTTCTTCCCACATCCTCACCAACATTTATTATTACTTGTTTTCATTATGATTATGGCTCTCATTTTTTGAGCACTTATTTGTGAAGCACTACTCTAAGCAGTCTTTATAGTAGTTCATTTTGTCCTGCAGCAAACCTATGAAGATATTATCCCTGTTTATAGATGGAGAATTGAATCATACACATGTTAGATACCTTGCCCAAGCTAAGAAAGATAGTAAGTGGAAGTGTCATCTTTGATGTTGGGCAGCCTGTGGTGGGAGGGATGATGTGCATTGGTTTGTTTTTTTTTATAGCAGTGATTGTACGTACAAACATCCTAAAATGTGAAAAGCCATTCATTCTTAGGAGTTGGGAGAAAAATCTACATCTATTTGTATTTATCTTCTCTTTTATTTGTTTAAGTGTAAGAGTTTATATATATTTAAAAATCATGTAAGTTCAATTACTTGTTCAGTCACTTTTTTTCTATCATGATGTGGTTTAATGACTGGCTAACTGGATTTAGAAACCTCACAAATTTCATATTGAAGATAATATTAGTATAAATATAATCAAATAATAAGAAAATGGTAGAATTGATGCCTCAGAATGGGAAGTCTGTGAAAAATTTAGAATTATGAATTTATTATCAAGATTATTTGAAATATGAATTTTTGTTTATTAATGTTCATGGTAAACTTTAAAAATATATATATTTGTTTGAAATACTTATCACTATAAGTATAGAAACCATTGCACAATCTCTCTCTTTTTGTGGAGGATTAAACCCAGGGGTGCTTCACCACTGAGTCACATCACTAGTCCTTTTTATTTTGAGATAGTCTCCCTGAACTGCTAAGGGTCTCATTAAGTTGCTGAGGCTGGCCTCCAACTTGTGAAACTTCTACCTAAGCCTTCTGAGTTGCTGGGATTATAGGTGTGTACTATCATATCTGACCTTTTTATATTCTTTATTTTTTATGACTCAATTATTTAATAATGTTCAATTTTGCAACAAAATTATAAATATGTTTTTTATGAAGTCTACTGGTCTAATATTTCTGATGAAAATAGTATTTAAATTGAGATATGCTATGAGTATAAATATGTATTATAATTCAAAGAGTTAATAATAAAAAAGAATATAATATTATTCATTAATCATTTTATATAAATTATACACAATGAGATTTTTTCATACATATACAGCACAATTTTTCATATCTCTGGTTGTACACAAAATAGAATCATATCCTTTGTGTCTTTATATATGTACTTAGTGTAATGATGACCATTGCATCCACCATCTTTCCTACCCCTATTCTCCCTCCTTTCAGCTCCCTCCTCTTTTCCCCTTTGTCCTATCTAGAGTTCATTTAATCCCCCCCTCAGCATATTATGAATCAGCATTCTTAAATCAGAGAAATCATTTGGCATTTGGTTTTTTGGATTGGCGAATTTCACTTAGGATTATATTTTCCAGCTCCATCCATTTTGCAAATGCCATGATTTTATTCTTTTAATGCTGAATAATATTCCATTGTGTATATATACCACATTTTTTTTATTCATTCATCTACTGAAGGGCATCTAGGTTGGTTCCACAGTTGTTTAGCTATTGTGAATTGTGCAGCAATAAACATTGATGTGGTTGTGTTCCTGTAATATGCTGATTTTAAGTCCTTTGGGGTGTAAACCGAGGAGTGGGATAGCTGGGTCAAAAGGTGGTTCCATTCCCAGTTTTCCAGGGAATCTCTATACTGCATTCCAGATTGGCTGCACCATTTTGCAATCCCACCAGCAATGTAAGAGTGTGCCATTTTCCCCACATCCTCGCCAAAACTTATTGTTGTTTGTATCTTTCATAGCTGCCATTCTGATTGGAGTGAGATGAAATCTTAGTTTTGATTTGCATTTCTCTAATTGGTAGTGATGTTGAACATTTTCTCCTGTATTTGTTGATTGTGTATCTTCTTCTGAGAAGTGCCTATTCAGTTCCTTAGCCCATTTGTTGATTGGTTTGTTTGTTGTTGTTGTTGTTGTTGTTGTTGTTTTTTGGTGTTAAGTTTTTTGAGTTCTTCATATATCCTGGGGATTAGTGCTCTATCTGATGTGCATGTGGCAAAAATTTGCTCCCAAAATGTAAGCTCTCTCTTCAACTCATTGTTTTGCTGAAAAACAATCTTTTTAGTTTGAGTCCATCCCTTTTATTAATTCTTGATTTTATTTCTTGCACTTTTCATATTCTTGATTGAGTTTTCAAGACATTTGAAAACTAAGTGTGGGAAAAAAGAAGATAGACCTTTTGAATAATTTGAAAGCAACATTATACCAAATGAAAGAAGCCAGAACAAAAGGACACATATTCAGTGATTCCATTTATATGCAATGTCCATTTGGCAGATACATGCAGATAGAAAGTAGATTATTGTTGCCATAGGGAAATGGGTACTGATTGATAATGGATACAAGGTTTCTTTTTAGGGTGATAAAACGTTATGGAATTAATGGCAATGATTGCTCAACACTGTGACTATACTAAAAACCACTGAATTTTTTACTGTAAAAGGGTGAAATGTTTGATATGTGGATTATATCTTAATAAACAGATTCATTATACCATTAATAGTAAATAAGAATTATTTTAAAATACTGTTTATTTAATCTTATAAAATCTTATTTTATTTGATATATATGTTACAGCAATATAGTACTACATATATTTAAGTTTTAGAAATGAGCTCTAAGCCTTTACTTATTCTCCACCCTCACTTTTCTTTCTCTTCCCCCATTCCCTCCCTCCCTCCTTCCCTTCCTTTCTCTCTTCTTCTCCTTCTTTCCTTCACAGAACTAGGGATTGAACCCAAGGGTATTATACCTCTGGGTTACATTCCCAGTACTTTTTATTTATTTACTTATTTTTGAGGCTGGTTTTTGCTAATTGCCCAGCCTGGCCTGAGTTTGTGATCCTCCTGCCTCAGGATTGCAGTAACTGGGATTGTAGTACCACTGTGCCAGGACTTTTTAAATTTTTTGCTAATTAGTTTGCACACTTTCAAAAAATTTGGAGAGCATTGCTTTACAAAGTAAAGAAAACGTGTTAACATTTTCTTTACCAATAGTGCCTCATTTTAGCTATATAAGGGGATAATGAAATAGGATAGGATATTGTCTTTTTAGGTATACAATACTTTAAAGATTTGGATGTACATCAAGCTTCATGGAAAAATCAGAAGACACTGCATAGTTTTGTTCCAGATCCGTTCTCAGTAGAAGGAGTTTTTCAGTCTTCCTATTTATAGCCTAATGTTTATTTCCCAGGGAAGTGAGAATCAAGTTGGGTTGGTTTGTCTCTATCCATTATAGAATATCTCTTGTGCACTGTTTCATGCCAAGCTATGCTAGAAGGTCTTACTTTCCATATATTCAGCCAATATATAATTGCTTTTGACTTAAGCATTTTTCTCTACTCAAATCAGTTGTGACCAGGGCAATCTCAGGGATTTCTTTTGAGATATATGGCAGGGTTCTAGAACTTGAAGGACTCTTTTTTTTTTTTTTTCCAGAATAGTATAGAATAGTATAGAAAATATGGAGAACTTTTTGGAGGCAGTATGATGATATAGGGAAAACTTTATTCTTTATATTCTTTACAGTCTGAAAACTTTTGGCTTAAATTCTATATTCTTTATAGTCTGAACCTTTGGCTTAAATCATTCACTGTGAAATCTTGGATAAAGATATTCTGAGTTTCTGGTTTGTTCATCAGTAACATGGGATTAATAATACCTACCTTGTAGGTTAGAATTTAATGGAATAAAGTATCCAAAATGTCTGGCATAGAAGCTGACATGGGAGACATTTTAACAAATGTTCCCTGTTTGGTACTAAATGGATTAAGAAAATTGTGCATGTTTGCATTTCTAATTCTTTTATATTTCCTTAGCAGTTAAGGAAACTATTTAAAAATCGACCTCAGTGCAGATATTTTCATTTCTCCCATTCTCGTGGTCACTGAAGAGTAGTTGTAGCAGAACTATGTAGCTTGTAGAAGCCCAGAAAGATTTAATGAATCCATCAATGTTATAAAAATTCATGACAGCATTATCTCAACTTTTGAAATAGAAATTGAAGGGTAGTTGTAGCAAAAAAAATGTACTGAATAGAAAGAGGTGATTGAAATGCTTTTCTTTTTTAAAAAATATTTTTTAAATTGTAAATGGATACAAAATGTGTATTTACTTATTTTCATGTGATGCTGAGGATCAAATTGAGTGCCTCACACATGCAAGGCAAGTGCTGTGCCACTGAGCTACAGCCCCAGTCCCGAAATGCTCTTCTTGCTTTGATAACTCAGCTTTCTTAACTTGGGCAGTTTGCAACTCTTAGGCATCCCTACAAGGCAGGGGCATGGACTTAATTGAATGATTTGTATGCTTCCTCCATTTCCAAAAAAAAATGTTTTTGTGAAAACTAATGTAGGAGTTGTAGGGGAAAAAAAGAAGTATGGCTTCTATCAATGATAGCGACTTTCTCTGAGAATCAGTTATTTTTAAAATAGTGCACACTGCATATACTTTATTTGTAAGAACTTTCTAAATTATTGTGGTGGCCACAATCTTAACACTGATCAAGTTTGGTGTACTTGGGGCAAAAAACGGAAAAGATGGATGCCATGGTGTTCAAACTTAGGGTTTAACATTCCTCCTCCTCTTCCTCCTCCTCCTCTTCTTCTTCTTTTTGTTATTTGTGGTTATTAGTAAGTCAGGTATAAACTGTTGCCTCCTGCATACTCAGTAGGGGTTCTGGTTGTTTCCCAAGAAGTAATCACTGCCATGAGCAAGTGGAAAGGAAGCTATCAAAGGCTTCTATTTACTTTTAAAACATATCATTTTAGTCTGAATCAGAATTAGATTAAGAATATTATTCCATAAATTATGAGTAGCAAATGAAAAAGTAGAGTGACAGTGTAATTATAAATGAGTAATTATAAAATTATAATGTCATAATTTAATGAATCTGCATTTAAATTTCTTAATACACCAATTTTATTGGAAGTGATGATGAGAAACAATTATAAAAAGTTTGATTATCATCTTTAAATAATTAAGTTCTTTTCTGTGATTAAAAAATGGTATATATCATTTTTTCTTAAATCCTAAACTATTTCTGAAAATGATATATTGAGAGATCTAAATGTATAATAATTTACAGTGCATATTTGAAATTTTGTTTAGTATAAAAACAAAAGTCAAGCAGTTTCTAATGTTCTGAAATCAGAAAATCATTGGTGAATGCTTCAAGTTGAATAGTGATTCAACTCATCAAAATGTTAATATAATGATATAATATTCTTTCCGCAGGTTTTATTGAAAACTACAGCTGGAGATATTGATATAGAATTGTGGTCAAAAGAAGCACCTAAAGCATGCAGAAATTTCATTCAGCTTTGTTTGGAAGGTAATTATAATTCTTGAGAAATCATAGTTAATTTAAAAATAAACTGTAGAGTATTTTTCACAACATTGAAGATTGGTGTTGGATAGTGGTAATGAGTAGTGCGTGTTGATATGAGTGATATGGTCTTGAGCTATGTGTCAGAAAATAGAGAGGGGAGATAACGCTTTCTCCAAAATAAACCTATATGGTTTTAACAAAAATTTATTTTAGCAAATAATACTTTGATCATTTTTTTCTTTCTTTAATATTCTAAATACAGATATTTCCTAAGATTGTCTCTAGTTCTATTGTCTTCACTCTTCTGTTATTACTTTCATGCAAATGGCTGTTACAACTAGAACTCCAGCCATTTCTTCCCTTCTTAGCACCAGTATGGAATTACTTAGTGGACTTTTCTTCTGGAACCTTCCAATGTCAGCTACAACTAAACTAATGTAAGACTAAATTTATCAAATTTGTTTTCCCCAGATTGCCTTGACTTTCACCTTCCTAACTGCAGTTGCCTATTATCTGGTCTTCCTGACTTTCATCTTTAATTTCTTTTTCTTCTATTTAATCTTCTAATATTTGAATTCTCAGGCAGTTTGGCTTTCTAGCTTTCTAATTTTATTTCTCATTGCATTAACCATTTGGTTTCAGCTATTACCTTTATTTCCTGAATATTTCCTTCTCACTTTCACTTTCCTTACACTTTCATGAATATCCTCATACTGGTTTTCCTTTGTTGTTGTTGTTGTTTAAGAGTGTTTTCTCTTTTCATTTTTTAGTACCTAGCTTTTAATATCTGTTCAAAATTCCAGTTTTTCCATAGTCTTGGCATTCACTAATGTTATTATCAATGTCTATTTTTTTTTGAGATTTGAATCATAAGGTGATGACTTTTCTTTTAAAAATGTTACAGAAATTTACATTCACTTGAGTGTTTTTTACTTCACAATATTTTCTTATCAAACATTTCTAACATTTTTTAGAATGTCTTGTTGGGTTTTAGAATACATTGCATATGGTTTTGAATATCTTTAGTGGTGGCAAATCATAGTCCTCCTAAGTTATATATGATTTTTAGAGAAAATATGTTTTAAAGTATCAGAAAATAGCATTTTGGGCCAGAAACAAGATGTAAAAAGAGAATCCATAGTATCTAGTATTATGGGATAGTGAGAACTCTCCAAATAGATAAATACCAGGAGAAGATTTAAGAAATAAAATTAAAACAAAAAAGACAAAGAGAGAGAGAAGAGAAAGAAGATGTCTGCAAAAACCATTATTAATAATTGTTATGGCAGGCAGGAAGGAAATAGAGTCAGACAGGTAGTTTAGTTAGAGAGGCCTCAAATAACTGTCAACAAAGCTAAGAAGCACATGAGACACAAAAAAGTCAGACTTGCTTCTGGTAAGAAGTTTTGAAGAATAAAAAGCTCAAATTTTACAGGAGGAGAGTTAAATTACAAAAACATTAGAAAGAATGAATGGTAAATTGCAAATCATATCCAGGTAAATGGAAGAAACAGAAAATATCTGGATATAAAATAACAATGAAGAAAAATAATGAGGTTGGTAAGTTGGATGATGATTAAGCTCAATTATGGCAACCAAAAAAATCATTCTCAATTTATAAGAATACAAGAAGAAAGAAAAAAGAATAGAAAAATAGTAAGAAAAATAATCAGAGTAATTCTCCTAATTTAGCAGATAAAAGATTGAATTGTTATTGGAAAGGCTAACAAGAAGGCTGAGAAGAATGATTTGAAAAAGATACTCACAAATGAGTAAAGTCAAGGTTTTAAAAATATAATTCAGAAAACCCCAGTTAGATTCTTTCAAGTCTTTGATTCCTTGATCTTATAACACTCAAATCAATACTACATATATATATATATATATATACTACACATATATATATATACTACATATATATATATACTACATATATATATATACACTACATACATATATATACTACATATATATACTACATATATATACTACATATATATATATACTACATATATATATTACATATATATATATATACTACATATATATATATATATATATATAGAGAGAGAGAGAGAGAGAGAGAGAGCATTGTTTAATGTAAAATAGTTAAAGGGAAGATCACAGCCTTTCCAAAAACAAAAGATCTACTATTATACAAACTAAATCTTGGATTTTAGGTCTTTGTAGTATAGTTAGGTGAACATTTATGATGAGTGTAATTTTTAATAAATTGTCAGGTCAAAAATGTATTATAATGAGTACCTTTTATAATTTCATTAGTTATCTGAAGTGCGAGGAAGGAATAAAATTAATTCATGCCCATAATATTTATGCCAATATTTTGCCTTGTCTCTTCATGATATATCCTTCAGTTATTTTTATCCTCTACTTCCATTAACAGTAGCTTATTCATTCTTTAGAAGTGAAAAATATAAATGTGTACATTAACATGCCACAAGTTATAAAAGTTTTTTAAATTAAACTAAAATATATGTTTAAAAAAATACTGGAGAGGCTAAAGTAAATAGGGCAGACTCATCACAAATGAACTTTAGATATAAAAAAGTTATCAGTGACAACAATATGCAAAATTAAACACAAAACACAATTCTATTAGAAAAAATACAGAAAGCTGATATTAAAATGCAAATATAAATTCCTGTATGTATTTGGACTGGAAATGTAAATTAGTCAAGACATATCATAAAACCATTGGACAGCCAGAAATAAAAACTGTAATGAGAAATAGTAGAATTACAGTGGAAACATAGGAACTCTGTTTCGTATTTGAGATTCATTTAACTTTGTTTTTTCAATAGTAGATAGCATTCAGGAGGATATTATGAGTATATGTGATGAACTAATAAAGCTTCTTTATTCAAAAAACTTATGAATATGATGCATAAATATAAGAGTAAAATAAACTGAAAACTGCAAAATCTATATAACACATGGTTTGCTTCCGGAACAACTTTAAATTCATAGTTCAACAGCAATTATTAATAAGTTATAGGGAAGTAGAAATAGTAGATATAAAAAATTTGTGGAAATTGGAAATGCCAACCATGATATAACACAAAATTATGGTGTAAAGATTCTAGAAAATTTATACTCATTTATATATGATGTTATAAAATTTTATGCATTCCACAAGAATATGATTGGGAAAATTATAAAGAAAACCTTAAAAGAAAAAGCTGTCATCATGAAAGACTTCATAGGAAGTAAGGAAAAAGAATAGGATGGCATAATTTAAAATTTGAAGACATAGGTTAACAACGACCTCTTTCGTCTCCCCCTTCCCTCCGCTGTAATATATATATGGGTCTTAAATATCCTGCTTTTTAAATGTGTTGACTTGGGACAATAGCGTGTTTGCACGTGAGCTCTATTTCTCTGATTTTTATTCTGAAAACAATAATCCAGAGATTGAGAGAATCTTGGAAATAAAAACAAAACAACCACTACCCAAGGTTTCTGTTGAAGCATGTGCTGTTTTGAAAGTAAATACTTTATAAGAAGTAGAGAAAAAAACAGTTTTGATTTGGAAATGTATTTAACATTCTTGAAAATAAATCTGTGATTCTGGTGACATATTAATTCTGATAACCATAGATAACACTTAATTTTAGAAATTGATAATTTATTTAAAAACTTTTTTTTCAGCTTATTATGACAACACCATTTTTCATAGAGTTGTACCTGGTTTTATAGTCCAAGGGGGAGATCCTACCGGCACAGGGACTGGCGGAGAGTCTATCTATGGAGCCCCATTCAAAGTAAGACTGAATTACTATTATCATTATTATTTTGCAAGTCAGCTTGGATTGTTTAACTGAAAATGATTGTGCTCCACAAGAAGAAAAATCATTTCACATTAGTATACAAAACCAACTGTCATTTAGAATTATACAAGGATAAGAGCAATACTTACCCTACCAAATATTCTTTCTAAGTTGTCTTATTGCAAGCGTTTTATGTTAGATTGAGTACAGGTAGAACTAAAGATGGTAGTGAAAATAATGTGATTCATAAAAAGACCATATAGCATATTTTCTGATGTCTGACTTTTTCTGATCTTTGCATCTCTATAAATATAAAGCATTTTTAGAATATTGCATATGCTATTTTATTTTAAAACAATTTACTTAAATCCTTTGGAATCTTAGAGTTGTTTGCTTAGGCTGCTATAACCAAATACCACACACTGCGTGACTTAAACAACAAAAGTTTATTTCTGATGGTTCTGTGGGGGCTGGGAAGTCCAAGATCATTATGTCTGGCAATTTGGATCCTGGTGAGGTCTTTCCCTGGTTTGTATTTGGCTTTCCTACTCTGAGGTCTCACATAGGGCAGAGAGAATGAACTTTGGTGTCTTATTCCTCTTCTTGTAAGGACATGAACCCTGTTGGGTTAGGGACTCATCCTTATGACCTCATCTAACCTTTATTGCCTCCTACCAGACCCAAATGTAGTCATATTGGGGATTAGGGCTTCAGTGTAAAATTTTTGAGGGAATACAGTTCAGTCTCACTTAGCAAAATTTATTTTCAATTATACACAATAGTCTCTAACACAGAATGCATGCCACAATGGGAAACCACAAGGAGAATAGAAGAAGCAACATAAGAAAGCTTTATAAAAAAGGTATATTAGTTAAGAGTAAGTGAGAAATTTCTTAATTTCCAACACAGATCTAAGAAGAAAAAGAATATCATACTAAAGAAATTAAGAGGCCAGGGGAATAGCACATTGGTAGAGTGCTTGCTTAGCATGTGCGAGGTGCTGGGATCGATTCCCAGTATCGCAAAAGAAAACAAAGTAAGGAACAGTAGAGAGTTTAAGTAAAAAGCTAAAAATTGTGTTTGTTATTAGTCTGATGGTACCAACATTAATTCCTTTGGGTGAGTAAAAATTAATAGTTCTTAAATAGGGGAATTTTTAAAGAACTTTGTGTTTGTTCTAATGGGATAGAGTATCTGGAGTCTCCTTTCATCTTTTACTGGATCATAGTCTGATGTATGATTCTTAAGAAAAATAGTTAAAATTTTGCTTTAATTTCTAGATAATGCTCTTAGAAAATGTGAATGGTTATTAAAAAAAACTCAGATGTAATTGTTAAGACTATTTTATATTTAACTAAAGTGAAATCTCATGGTTTTAGAGCCTACATTCTTGTAGGAAGCATTCCTTTATTCTATTATTTGGTGTAACAGAATAGCTCTTTTTGACAGTTCTTTCCTAACTTGAAATCTTTGTTTTGTTATTTTCAGTTAGGTCATTTTAAACACATTATTCAGAGTTATGATGCATTGAGTTCAGATCTCTTAAGAATTATTTATTACTTCTTTTATGACAAGTATTGATTACATAACATGCTATATAACATATGATTCCAGTATCAGGTCTGGATGCAAATTATGTTAACTCAGAGACTAAGGAATCTGTTAAGTAGTCCTATAAAAACAAGAAAACCACTTTAGAAAGGCTTTTACCTGCTATTTTGAAAACTGGCAAATGAGTTCAGTACCAGGTAAGAGAATATTTAACTTAGGATTGTGTCAAATCACATTAGCACTATCCTGGTAGGTTCTTTGAATCAAAAAAAAAAAAAAGGAAGAAAAGAAGAAGAAGAAGAAGAAGGAGGAGGAGGAGGAGGAGGAGGAGGAGGAAGAAGAAGAAGAAGAAGAAGAAGAAGAAGAAGAAGAAGAAGAAGAAGAAGAAGAAGAAGAAGAAGAAGAAGAAGAAAGGATTATTTCTTGACATTTAAAAGAGTTTAGGAGGAGCAATAGTTGAAGACTTCACAATGGTTCAAAGCTGAATTCCTTGGAGAAATAATAGGTTTTAAAAGTTTTGATGATTTTGACTATGAAAATAAGGAAATGAATCTTAGAAATCTATTCCCCTTTGAATGAGTTCTTTGCTCTATGAGTATGTATGCAACTTTCCACAAAATAAGCTATATTTATGGCTGAGTATATTTAGAAGACACAGGCTAGTGAATTCAAGTTTAAGAGTACTGAATAGTAAATTTTGGATTTGATTATACTTGAAAATCAGTTAAATAAAACTTTCGCAATTTTTTATTAGACATTATATGGGACCTTGCTGGTTAGCTGCATAATGATTGAATATGAAATGAAGTATCTTGTAACTGAGAACATTCACTGAATTGTTTTTTTATGCTTCAGGATGAATTTCACTCACGGTTGCGTTTTAATCGGAGAGGACTGGTTGCCATGGCAAATGCTGGTCCTCATGATAATGGCAGCCAGTTTTTCTTTACACTGGGTCGAGCAGATGAACTTAATAATAAGCATACCATCTTTGGAAAGGTTTGTGTCCTGTTGTCCTAAACCTGTGATTTGGTTTTTGGTTTTATGTGATTCTTTAGGCTTCTGTGACAGATATGATGAATTTATCTAACAGCTGCCTTCATGAAAATATCCCTTGAATTGATTTATTATTTTAAAAAATGATGGAATATGTTCCTATTATAATGAACTTTAAAAGACTTGTGAATTCTTTATCATGTTTCAAGTCAGTTGTTTGTTATGAATTTAATGTTTTCTGTCCTTAAAAATCATACTAATGGTATCAGCTACCATGCCATTCAGCAATGATGTTTTTTACATTTTTAGAAAGATACTTAGGGGCTGAGGGTGTGACTCAGTGGTAGAGTGCTTAACAAGCATGTGTGTGAAGGGCCTGAGTTCTATCCCCAGCACTGAAAAAAAAAGTCACATAACACTAGTTTAAAGTTTACTTTATTAATGGTAATTTTATTAATTCCCTTTAGTTTAAAATAGAAGTTGACATTGAAAGCTTTTATTGGAAATGTTACTTTGGATAGTACTAATTTAATTCTGCTCACATTTAATGCCTTTCAGGGCATATCCTTTCCATAGAATTTTCAATAATTCCCAATAAATAGGGATCCTGAAAGTTTTCTTCTATCTTCTCATAAATATATTCTTATATATTTTAATTTTTAGACCTATTAGATACCTCTAGCTTATCAGCCCCCTGTACTGGTTGAGTAAGAATTGTTTTCTCAGATCCTAGGCAAAACTGGATTTTGTGATGATAAAAGAGGAAAAAACAAACAATACAATTGAAAAACCCATTTTTGTATCTTGGGAAATGTTGAATTAAAGGAATCACATTAAAATCATGAAATGTAATTAGTTGTCTTTTTTTTTTTTTTTTTTTTTTTGGTGCTAGAGATTGAACCCAGGGCCTTATGCATGTGAGGCAAGCAAGCATTCTACCAACTGAGCTATATCCCCAGCCCCTATTGTCTAATTTTTAACACCATGTTTAGAAAATATACATTAGCCTATTCTTTCAAGACACTCCCATCTCAGGTTTTCTAATGACCATAGATTTTTCCTCCATATTATTTTTTACAAAAAAAGAGTGTAATAGAGGCTGGGATTATAGATCAGTGGCAGAACATTTGCCTCACACATGTGAAGCATTGGGTTTGATCCAGCACCACATAAAAATTGAATAAACCAGGCTGGGGTTGTGGCTTAGTGGTAGAGTGCTTGCCTAGCATGTGTGAGGCACTGGATTTGATCCTCAGCACCACATAAAAACATAAATAAATAAAATAAAGGCATTGTGTCTATATACAACTAAAAAAAAATTCTTAAAAATAAATAAATAAATAAACAAACAAACAAAATAAAGATATTGTGTCCATGTATAACTAAAAAGCTTTTTAAAAGAGTGTATAATAAAATGATATTTAAGTTACATTTGTACTATCTTTTACAAATGGTACTATATAATTTATACATTAGTGAAAAAATTTAGCAAAGTGGTTATAAGTTGGAAAAGCCACTACTGTTGACTCTATAACCTCTTTGAGTCTCGGTTTTTTTAAATATAGAAGAAAAATAATGATTGTTATTATTAGTTAGCTGTTTATGTGGATTGACTGAGGTGTCTGCATAATGTTTATCACATTGTTATTACTTACTTACCCTCTTACTCTAAAAATCTAATTTTGTGTATGATGTTTGAAAAGTTGTCATTCAATAAGATGGTAATTGGCATTACATTTTTAATTTTAGTAAAAGATGGTACTAAGTACATATTGGAAATTTATCAAAAAGCCTAGCGAGAGATTGAACCCATCTGTGCTTTTCTCCCTTAAAATGAAGTCACCTTATTTGCATTATGTTTAATACATATATTCTTATGGAATAATATGAAATTATTTTTTATGTATGTATGTATATTTTTAATAGTATATGGACACAGTACTTTTGTTTTATTTATTTATTTTTATGTGGTGCTAAGGATTAAACCCAGTGCCTCACACATGTTAGGCAAGTGCTCTACCACTGAGCTATAGTTCCAGCCTCTGAAATTCTCTTTTAACTATTTACAAAAGTCCCTTAATTCAAAGGATAAATAAATATATTTGTAATTACACTTTATATTTATATTAGGTTACAGGGGACACGGTATATAACATGCTGCGACTTACAGAAGTAGACATTGATGATGACGAAAGACCACGTAATCCACACAAAATCAAAAGTTGTGAGGTAGGAGCATGATTATTATGAGATATGGGACTTCAATTGCCATTTAAGAGGAGTTGACTTACTCTGTTTAAACTATTAGATGATGGTTTTGTACTAAATACAATGATTCACTTATGTATTTAGGCACAATTTATGATTTAAGAATTTTTTAAAGTAAAAAAGTAAAGGTTTTGAATTCAAGATGAAACTTTATATGATAGTCCAATGAATGAAAAACTCAACTCATGTTGGAAAGTTGGAGGAGTTAGATTTATTTTAGCCTAAAGAAATGACTTCATAGTTAAAGAGTTATTTTTTATGAAGGGAACAAGGCCCTTAAAAGCATTTGATTTGGAGTCAAAATGTCTGATTTTGTTTCTCTTACTGTGTGTCATTTACATTTTCCTAAGTATTTTTCCTTTTGTGAAATAGAGATAAGACAGAATATCCTTTACTTAATAGCACATAGGTTTCTTGGAAGAATCCAGTGAGACCATATAAGTTTAAGTACTTCAAGTAGTAGATCTATCACTATGCTAATAATATTTATGGGGGGAAATATGGACACTTTTGATGCAATTAAATATTGTGTTTTTTGAGTGAAGTTTAAAAAATAGAATAATGTTTTCAACATATTTCTTTTCATAGGTTTTGTTTAATCCTTTTGATGACATCATTCCAAGGGAAATTAAAAAGCCCAAAAAAGAGAAACCAGAAGAAGAAGTAAAGAAATTGAAACCCAAAGGCACAAAGTAATCATAGTAGAAACATTTTTCTTCAACTGGGAAAAGCAACACTAATTTATTTAGTTTTTCTATTTCCTTTTAAACTAATTGTTGACTAGCAAAGGAAAGACCCGTTTGAACCAGGGAGGTATCATAATATAAGTCTATGGCTTTTTTTAAATGGGCATTTCTTGTATTTAAGTATAACTTTAACTTAAACTAAAAATGTATCATTTCAGATGTCCACATAAAATCTGTGTTAATAAATACATAAGTGCCTTGCGTTCTCTATACCAATTATTTATATAAATTATTTGAGAAACAGTTTTGCTTTCTTTTAAGTTAATATATGCTTACTTAGTATAAAGAATTTGGAGAGTATAAAGAATAATATAAAAAATATTTGTAATCTTATTACATGATTGTATAATATCTTTAACTTTTTGACTCCTTTTTTAGATACTCTTAAAATAATCTTTTTATAAATGTTTTTTTTTAAATTTTTTATTGTTGGTTGTTCAAAACATTACAAATTTCTTGATATATCATATTTCACACTTTGATTCAAGTGGGTTATGAACTCCCATTTTTACCCCATATACAGATTGCAGAATCACATCAGTTACACATCCATTGATTTTAAAAATACTATTCTAGATTCAGTATTCTAGATTATTTATTGAAGACAGTCTCTCCAAAAGTAATTTTTTTTTTAAAAAACAAATTTCAATAGTTTGTGTTAATATTCTTTACATTATTATCTGTTTTATTAAAGTAGATACTGCAGAATTAAATTTCAACCTACTCCTTTACTGAATTATAACATTCTTTTTAGAGATTTTATTGTACTTAGGAATGTTAGATTCAGACAACTCTATGTTTAATCCCATCAAACACAGTTGATAAGAATTGAAGTTTATTAATCTTTGTAACCTTCAGTTATCTCATCATGTAAAAATGGTGCTTATCATAACTATAACATCTGGTTGTTAAGAAGATTAAATGGAAAGGTCTATGTGAAGATACCCTATAGGTGTTCAGTACACGTTAGTTTCTTTCCTTGATATCCTACAAAATAAAGTAAACTAAATTGCTTCTATAAACTCTCAGACAGGACTAGGCACTTTAATAAGCAGTTGAGACTTTGTGGCAGTGTAACTTTTTTCATTGCTATATATTGGATTTTCTTTGTTCTTTGATTCTTTTATTTTGACTAATTTATCTCTGGATGAAAGGTCATTGTCACTATATTTATATATAGTCTTTCAGCACTATAATTACCTTGACAACAATCTCAAAAGGTTTTTTTGTGTGTTTTATAGTGTTTTGTTTTTATTCATAGCATATAATGTTAGGATGATATTGTTGTCATTACTTACATCTAGATTTTAATGTGAAGGATCAGAGTAGAAAAACAGTTTTTTTCTCCCCTTGGACATACATACACAGACAACACACACATATATACATATATATGTATACATATATATGTATATATAATCTGACAATTTTATGTTTCTGATTAATTTTAAAATATTAAGATATATTTTGCCAAATACAAGAATAATTGCTACTTTATAGTGCTCTCAGGTCCGTAGATTTATTAGTTTTTCAGAAATCTTCATTTTGCTACTAGTTTTGATAAACATCAAAAATTTATTTCTGTTATACTTCACTCAGTATATATGGTAATGTTCAGGTTTTTGGTCATTAGTTTTATATATGTAATATCAATGGTCTGAGTCCAAAAGCCTTTACTGAAAATTATAGATGCTTAGGATACTTCTGCTGAAGACTAAATAATATTCTGTTCTTTAAAAAAATGTATTTTTTCTTGCAGATTCTGTCCTATTACTTTAAAAATAGGATGTTTATGAGTTTTAACTTTTTCTAATTTTCTCTCTTTTATTCTTTTCTTTTTTGACTAGAAATTTTAGTTTACTTTCATTTGGAGAAGAAGCTGAGGAAGAAGAGGAGGAAGTAAATCGAGTTAGTCAGGTAATTTCTAATTTGTCCTTTCATCTGAATTACAAAAGAGATCAGAACGTACTTCTTCGTCATTTTTATATCTCCTGCTTCTGCTGTACTTGGAACAGTACGTTTTACATGGTACACACTCAAGTCAATTTACCTTGAATGCTTTGTAAAATAATTGGTGGTCAGTAAAATAACTTTTGAATTGATTTGCCTTCTTAAAATTGTTGAATTTTTTCTTTATTTTTAATATTGGCATTTTTCTATCAGTTAAAACTAGACCTGAAGACTTTTGAATTGTTCAACTTTGTGATTCAGATTTTAATTTCTACTTGTTTGGTTTGCTAGATGATAATGATTATTACTATTTTTATAATAGTCACAGGCCAACTCATTTTCATATCAGTGTTACTTGCATATATTTTGTTTGCTTCATTGATTCTCATCCAAGCCTTTTGAAAGGTGTTATTATTACCTCATTTTAGGTTATAATTTGCTCAAAATCACATAAGTCGTAAGTAGCTGGAAATTGAACTCAGGTCCAACTATAAAATCTGTGTCTTTGTATGTTGTCTCTTGGCCTTTTATTTCACCAATCCTTCCAGGCTTCTAACTGTGGTTTTCTTTTAACCCACTTTTATCACAAAAGGTATTGCTGAAAGGCCTGCAGTCTCTTACCATTGTTTGGATTAGGTTCAGGTATATGTGCCCCAAGAAAATCACCTTCATAGGGATTTTACTCCCAAAGGTTCTGCTATGGCTTCCTTTCTTGAATGTAAATTAGTACTGAGGCCTCAATTCAAAATCGTTATCATAGTAATCATAACTTAGTTACTTCATACTGCCTTAGTTACTTGACATAGTCACCTATTTTTTACCAACACTAATAATAGCATTGACTTAGAAGTACATTATTATTTTTTTTAATCTTTTTTTTTATCCTTGTTTTTTCTTCTTTATCTCTGTGCTTCTTTTATTAGTGATCATGGTTTGGGGAGATAAATATTTTTAATGTTGGGCACATTTATACTCCTTGCATTAAAACTAAATTAAAATGGGTATTTCTCTTTCTCTCTCTCTCTCTCTCTCTCTCTCTCTCTCTCTTTGATACTAGGGATTGAGCCCAGGGGTACTTAACCACTGAGCCACATCCCCAGCCTTTTTTTAAAAGTTTTTTTAAATTTTTTATTTTGAGACAAGGTCTTGCTAAGTTATTAGGGCCTTGCTCAGTTGCTGAGGCTGGCTTTGAACTTGTGATCTGCCTGCCTCAGCCTCTCAAGTCACTGGGATTACAACAAATGTGTATCACCACACCCAGCTCATAAGTTTTGTTAATCTTTACTGTTTCTTTAAGTAATCTGTTAGATACTCTTGATTCAGTTACTACCTCCAGTATACCAACATTCTAAATTCTCGGAGATAAAAGTGGATGTTTTTTTTGAATTCTTATCCATTATTCTAAGCAGCTTTAGGAAATGTCTCCATATTAGATGTCAAAACTAATTTCATTTCCATGAAAATAGGAGATCAGTGGAGAAGAGGAAAGGGATTGAGGGGGAAGGAAGAGGTACAGGAAAAGGGAAAAACTGTGGGATGAATTCTGGCTTAACTTTCGAATGTACATATATGAATATACCACAGTGAATCTCATCATCAAGAAAACCCATAAATAAATAGCAGAAAGATCAGTAGAATAGAGGGAGAGAAACTGGGGGAGGGAGAAGGAAGGGGAAGAGGGAAGCACTGGGGTCTGAATAGGAGGGTTTATATTCCATGATTGTATGATTATGTCAAATTATGTCAAAAAACCCTAATATATGTATAGCTAAAAGGAAATAATAAAAAAATTTAAAAAAACTGAATTTATTTTTACATGAAAACCTTTCCCTAGTCCATATAAATATCATGAATCACTGCCAACTTGATATCTCAGGAATTATCTTCTGTAGATGTCAATGTTTTGTATTGTTCATAATTCAAATTTGCACCTTATCAAAATAAAATATTTACTATATGCCATGTTTTTTTAAGTATATATGTGAATGGACAAAACTATGGATGTTAGTTCCTGGAATTACCAGTATTCCTTTATATTGATGTTTTCTGAAGATGTCAAATTGCCTTGCATCCACCCATGCCTTCTCATAGTAGTAACTCCACCCCTGTTTTCCCTTTAGTTAATCTGGAGTATGCACTCTTATCCTTTTTGGTTTTTTTTTTTTTTAATCTCATTTTTCTGTTTTAAGATTAGCTTCACTATTACCTCATAATTATTTCTACCTCCCTCCTTGTTATGGTTTAGATATTAGGGTATTCCCCAAAAGTTCATGTTGAGACAATGTAAGGTTTAGAGGTGAAGTGATTAGGTTATGAGCTCGTTAATCTAATCAGTGCAATAATCCCTCTGTAAGGATTTAACTGAGTGATAGCTATAGACCCGGAGGATGTTGAGGAGGTGGGTCCCTAGGGGCAGGTTTTGGGGGTATATATTTGCTTCTTATTGAGTAGAGCTCTCTCTGATTCCTGGTGCTATGCTCCCAGCTACTTTCCTATGTCATACTCTCTACTGTCATGACATCCTGCCTTACCTCAAGCCTCGAAGAATGGAGTCGGCCGTCTATGAACTGAGATCTCTGAAACCTTGAGCCTGCAAATAAACTTTTCCTCTTCCAATTGTTCTTGTTAGGTATATTGGTCACAGCAATGAAAAAACTGACTGAAATCTCCTTCACCAAACTCCCACTCAGATTGAGCTAAATACTTCTTTTTGTGATAATCTGTCTATGCCATCAAAGTATTTATTATACTTCATTATAATGATTTATTTTCCCATCTTCTAACTGTGCTAAATATTTATTTATATAATTTCTGTAAAAATCATATAGACTTTTTTAAATTCCCAATTTATAGATAAAGAAATGAATACTTGGGTTAAAATTGTTCAAGAACATGTAATTAGGAAGTGATGGAATCAGAATTTTGAACTTATATTTTTGAAGCTTTTTAAGTCTCTGATTTGAATGTGAATGCTGCAGAAGCTGGCTCCCGAAAGGCTAAAAGGCTGCTGAGAAATTTGACTCTTAGAACAGAATCCTGAGGTAGAAGGCAACTGTGCAGCACAGTGACTGACCACCTGCCCTTCCCCAACTCCTTAGTAATTGGTTGAGCAGGCTTGGAAAGCAGGGGTAAGAAAGCAGTTATTTTATGAATATTTGTTTTGAAGTTAAATTTCTGGTCTAAAGAAAGTTTTGAGCAGAATTACTTTGACTTCACTAGGAAATTAGTTTGATTCTATGTAACAGCAGCATGTGTTAATATTCAAAGCTTATCTTCTTTCTGCTGCTTCGTATTGTGTCAGTTAGAAAAAATGATATATTTAATTTGATTTATTTTGAGAAATTATACTCCAAAAACAATTTGTGTTTGCTGTTAAGACTGCACTGTGAGAGAATACCACGAAGATAATGCTGGCTTGCTTTTTATTTTCACTCTTCAAACTGAGACAAACACTTTGAATGGTTTAGAAAGACTAAGTAAAGTCTTTCCTTTCTGCCAAGAAAATTACAACCCACAGTTCATTATCAAAGGAGCATCATTATCCTAGTATTGTGTCATTGTTATTTCTCTCATTTGACTCTTTAACAGGAGTTCGGGGTGCTGTGTGATAAAATGATCACCACACATCTATATTTTAAGACTTGTTTATTTTTCTTTTCCCTGGCTGCCTACTGGATACCTTTCTATGTGAATATGTCACTAGTTATCCAAGTCCTGGCCAAGGCTTACTTCCTTATCTTTTCTTCCCATACTTCTTTGTTTTGTGACTCCTCTTTCTATTCCCTGGTGTCAGTATCCTCCAAAGAACTTTAGATTCAGTTCGACTTTTGTCTTTTTCTCTGTATTACCAGTTAGTTGTACTATTCTAGCAAGTTTTCACCAAAGCAATATCTCAGATCCATTTTTTTTTATCTGCTACTGTCCTTGTTCAGGTCCTCCATATCTCTAGTCTGAACTGCTGTATTATTCTGCACACTGGTCTGCTGTTCCTTCCACTCATAGCTATCAGAGTGGCCTTCCTGAAGCTTAATATGTTACTGTTGCTCTCTGCTGATTATAAAAATAAGACTAAATTTCTTGGCCTGTTATTTTCAAGTCTCTACTTTTCAGGACTCTCCTTCACCAACTTGGCCCTTTTATCTATCACTTCTTAAACTTCTCTGGTGATAAAATAACTTGTGCTACCTTCTAAAAAACAAGATTCTTAGGTCCCATCTCATATCCCCTCAATCAGAATTTCCAAGGAAGGGGCCTGGGAAGCTGGACTTATAAGGAATTTTCCTGGAATGCATGACAGGAAAATGTAGGAACTTTGCAGTAGCAGATTTGATTAGCCGATATTCTGCATTTGTGCCTTCTTTCTCTCCCACTTCTTTTGTGCCTTTGGGCTTTCCACTATATAAATTGTCCAATTGTCCCATCCAGCTTTGGATATCAAAATCATATTTATTTTCAAGCACCCAATATACTATTTTTCTAAGTGTCTTTTAGGTTTTTCCTAATCTTTTTCTAATTTAATCTAGGCCTTTTTGTATTCCTTTATATTTTCCTTTTAAAAACCTCTTTCCCCCCCTCCCCATTATCATTACAAGAAGCATATGACTGTGTTCTCATTTTATACTACTCTAACATCATGCACTTTATTCTCTGCCTTTTTAATTGCATAGAGTCGTGGGCTACCAGCTCGTTGGAGGTAGATTCTGAGTCATAAATGAATGACAGTGTGTTGGAATCGATTTGGTTTGTGATCATACAAACCATACTGAAGCTTCATTTCCCACTGACACTATGTGATTTTGAATAACCTAGTCTTTCTGAGTCTCAGTTTTTCTTTTTGCAGTATAGAAATAATATGTACTAGTTAAGATTATGAGATAAGGAGGTGGATAATCATTATTTTGCTACATTATGAAATCTTTAAAAATGTCTTTGAAAGTCAAATATCTTAAAATAGAACAATAAACTAT